CAAGGGGAAAGTCAGTCCTAGTGACTCAGCCCTTTAGTCCAAGCCCTTGGCAGGCAGAGGCAGGCGGATCTCTGAGTTCAAGGCCAGCCTGGTCTACTGAAGAGTTCCAGGACAGCCAGAGCTGCTACAAACAGAAACCCTGCCTTGAAAAAACAAACACAAACGAACAAACAATGGAAGTGGAGAGGTGAGGGATTTTTGCTTGTTTCTTTCATTCGTTTTCGAAACAGGGTCTCTCTGTGTAGCCTTGGATGTCCGGAAACTCATAGAGATCCACCTGCCTCTGCCTCCAGAGAGCTGAGATTAAAGGGGTGTACTACCACTGCCCAGCTTGTTTGTTTTTTTCAAGACAGTGTTTCTCTGGTACACATACATGAAGGCAAAACACAAAAAAATAAAGACAGAGAAGGAAATCAATGTAATACACCATACAACCTAATAAGGATAAAATATCACGTTTAGCTGGGCATTGGTGGCGCAAGCCTTTAACCCCAGCACTCAGGAGGCAGAGGCAGACCAATCTCTGTGAGTTTGAGGCCAGCCTGGTCTACAGAGCTAGTTCCAGGACAGGCTCCAAAGCAATACAGAGAAACCCTGTTTGGTGGGGAGAGGGGGGGGGGGATCACATTCTTCTCAGTCTAGAATATTGAACCCTAGTTATCTCTGTCTCCAATACCTACGCCAACTGTGATGCCACATTCTTTTTGAACCGCTCAGTTCTCTGTATCAGTCCTTCCTTTGAGATGGATGACATTCGAGCATCACCTTCAGGTGGAACATAGGGATCAAATATACCAGCTGTAAGGAGAGAAGAAAATTAAGGAACTGTCAAAAGATTGAGAAACCACCACCTTGAAGTCAGATAAAACTGGAAAAGACACAGGATATTATGTGGCCTAACCAGACTTGCACATAGAGGAAATTTGGTTGTACTTGTGTAAGTGCCAGGAACTAACTGTTTGCACTACTAGGACATCTTTTGTTATACTTAGAAAAGAAAGCAAGGAATAACAACTCTTTCGAGTCTGTTTCTACTTCTACAAACTGATGAACTTTCATTCTTTCTAGAAGTTGTGTGAAAACAAGATCAAAAGATGACCTCATAAACAGGACTAGTATCGCAAGCTTAAGTCTCCAATTACTACTCAGGCAGGAGGATCACAAGTTCTAGTCCACCCTGACAAACTTAGAAAGATTCTGTCTCAAAGGCAAAAAGAAAGGGAGACTAGGGATCTAACTTAGTGGTAGAGTGCTTGGTTAGCATGTATGAAGCCCTATATCTAACCCCAAGTACTGTAAAAACATGATAAAACTGATTATGAACTATAGTATATATAAAGTCAATCATTACAGAGGTTGAACTTAGTGGTTAATTTAACGATGCAGTCAGTGGTGGTGGCAAACATTTGGAAGGCAGAGGCAGGTGGATCTCTGAGTTTGAAGATAGCCTGATCTACAGAGCGAATCCCAGGACAGCCAAGGCTACACAAAGAAACTGTCTCAAAAAAATAAATAAATAAATGAAAATAAAATAAAAGGGAGGGCAATTTTAACGCTGTCGATCAGAGTCTAAGGCATTCCAAGCACCAGATATCTGACAGTAGAGGTGCTGAGTCAGGAGCCCAGAAACACTGTGCCTCACCTGTGCAGGCCAGATGTATAGGACGCTCCAGCTTTTCCGGAGGAATAACCAATCCTGCTTTCCTGGCATACTCCAAAAACTCCTTCTCTGTTTTGTACTTGGGTTCGCGAGGAAGGGGTCTGAAACGGCTTTTGGTTTTTACTGGAATTACAACTGGGAACTGAGTCACAAGAATGGGCTGGAAGGTAAAAAGTTAGCATATAAGCGATTTGGAAAGGAAACTATCTTGAGCAAACTATATGCAGTCTTACAGAAAGGACATATCCAAATAATGCTTCAGAAGTTACAAAACAACTGTTGTGAAGACCATCACATTACTACTTGAACACCTAGAGATGGCCCTTAGCACAAGCCAATTAATAACCTTTGTTAACACCAGTCAACACTTCCTAAAAGCTTTCCTTTAATACACTGTAGACTGCTCTATGTGGAGAAGTTAAAGCAAGAGTCTTACCATCAAAGACCTTTTAGCTTGATGGTAAACCTTAGTATCAACACAATACTGAAGCAAGATCTCATGGGCATTTCCTCCTTGTTTCTATTTTACTTTTTCTACCCAGGCAGTGTCTCACTGTCTTAATTCTGTCCTTCTAGCTCCTAACTGGCCAATAAACGTTTGAGAAGCCAGGTGATCTTTTCCCTCCGATCAGGAGTTTTGTTCCAAACTAAGACAAATCTACCATGTTCCTATATCCTCGGCAATTTTTTTTTAAGAATGCAAAAGAAGCGGGCCCACCTTCCAAACCACTACTTCTTTCCTTCTAACATCTCTCCACAGAGACTAGAACTAATGCGGAGAAGCATAATGCCAGCAAACTTAAATCACCCCACTCGTATCGTCCGAGCTCATCTACGGCCACCATACGATTATTCCCTTTTACTGTGTTCTCCTCCTGTCTTTAAATTTCATTCGCCTGGTCCCTACCCACCTGCCGAGACCACCATCCCAAAGCCCTGGTTAAGCAGGACAAGCCCCGAGGTATGGGGGCTGCCATTTTGTTCGCGCAAAGACCGCCGGGATGCCGGTTAAGCCGCAGGGCACCGAGCTGGAGAAAAGGCGCAAAGGGTGGAGCGAGCTCGGGAGTGGAATTTTCCAGGGCGCGCGGCCTGGGTCGAAAGGTGAGCCGCGCGCACGCGCACGCTCTCGTGTGTGTGTGTGGGGGGGGTAGGGCAATGTGGCTGCGCGTGCGCAGTGAGACACTTTGGAAGTAGGGTAAACCGCACGGCTGTCACGCGCCAACCTGAGACTGGTGGAGAACCAGCTGCGCCTGCGTGTGAGGCTTTCTGTTGGGGCACTGGATTGCTGCATTCCTGATTGCTTAGCACATTATTACACCTTGTTTACATTCTGTAAAAAAAATAAAAAAGTGTTTCCCTCTGAAATCAGAGGATTTTGAGAGTAGTGTTTTCTTTCATTGCTTGGGATACACTGGAGATATTTAGGGCGAAAATGATAGTTTCTGGGTGAGTAAGTGACCACAAAATGCAGTATAACCTTAAACCTGAGCCCCACCTAGTTTTCTACGTGAAAATTCTTTCTTCCTGTTCCATTAGGGAAACAGACCGCTGTGGTTACTGAAAAGCAAATGGCACATGGATTGGCAAGAATCTCTCTCTTTTTTTTCCTTTGTCATTTCCAAAAATGTGTCATTTCCAAAAGAAAAAACCCACCAAATTTGGTAATAGCTCGTATTTCAAAATTGTTTACTAGGTGCCTGGTAAGTTAAGCATTTTACATACACCAACTTAATCCTCGTCACAAAAAGTAGGAATATTCCTATTTTACATATGAGGTTGGACCAGAGATACTAAATATGTAATTTAAATTTAGACAACTAATAGCAGAATTGAAAGTAGGGCCCACGGAGTATAACAAGTCCAAAACTGCTTCACATTCAATGGCTAAAGGAATTGTTATGTATGTGATGTTCAGGCTATCCTGGAACATCCAGGATGATAACAGTTCTCAAGAGCAAATACTATACATATTTTTGATTTTCATATTCTGTAGATTACTGTCAATTGAGCATATGTCTACAGAATTTTGCTATAGATTAGGAGTTATGGTCTGAGTAGATTGCTGACAGCGTCAAGTGCTAACAGCTATTATCAGAGGAACTGAGAAATTCATACAGGTTTGGAAATCATAGGTATTGTTTCAGATTGTAACTTCTAACTCTAAGAATTTTTCTTTAACTCATTATGTAGCTGAGGACAACTGTGAACCACATTTTATCTTTCTGCTTCTATCTCCCAAGTGCTAGGATTACCGGTGTACCACACCATGATCACCCTTTGAAACTTTTTTATTGTTGTTTTTATTTTTCGAGATGAAGTTTCTCTGTGGTACCCTGGCTGTCCTGGAACTTTAGAAGTCTTCAAGTATAAGAATTTCCCCAAATTTTTAGCCTTAGCACTGAACCTATACCATGATACACTAATAGTGACATGAAACTAGATACTATATGTATGTTAACTAAATAATATATATTAATGAGCATTTAAATGGGAGCTATGTATTATTTCATTATTTTGTGTACCCTTTTTTGGGGGAGGGGGCGGTGGCAGGGTTTCTCTGTTTTGCCCTGGCTGTCCTAGAATTCACTGTAGACCAGGCTGGCCTGGAACTCAGAGATTCATCTGTCTCTGCCTTCCAAGTGCTGGAATTAAAGGTGTGCACCACCACTGCTTGGTTCTTTTACTTACTATTATTTTTATTGGTGTTTTGTTTTGTTTTTGAGACACAATCTCACTGTATAGCTCTGGGTGGTCTGGAACTCTCTACATCAGGCTGATCTCAAACTCACAGAGATTGCCCCTGCTTCTGCCTGCTAAGCGCTGAGATTAAAGGCATGCTCCATTGTGCCTGGCCATAGATGTCTTATACTTCTTAACAGTCTCCTGTCTACCTACTCTATACATTATAAAATAAAACATGATGATTATTTTTTAATTTGATATACCTGATAAAGTGAGACAATCTCTATGAAAAAGTAGCTATTGATTACTACAGAATATTTTTATACTCTGCTCTTTTGTCAAGTTTTATTTTGGCCACATGGAGTAGGTAACACATCCTAAGTCATTTCTGCCTGACCTCTGATCAATTTCTCAGATACTGCAAACTAATTCCATATCAGCCTGGATAAAATAAGCGTGGTCAATATGGTTTAGTTCATTAAAGGTGATCGTTGTTGCTTTTGATTAGCTGTTTTTGAAAGTTTGTATTCTTCCTCATTAAGTCCAAGGCTAATTGGCAGCTGTCTGCTGAGGAGGTAACACTAAAGTATATTTCTTAATTCTCCAACACTAGCAGCTTGCATTTCTCAGAATGCAGGATAAAAAAGATTTTTTTATCATGATCCCCTCAGCAGCATATACACTAAAATTGGAACGATACAGAGAAGATTAGCATTGTCTCTAAGTAGGATGACATGCAAATTCATTTATGGACAGGATAAGCTATTTACAGAAATATTTCTGTCTTTTTTTCTTCAGTTGGTGTGTTTTCTAATTGTGCACAAATACTGTCAACTTCACCAGTTTTATAAGTGTTTAAATATATACTGTTGGATTAGGCAGTAGTGGCACCCGCCCTTGCTTCCAGCACATGGAAGGCAAAGGCAGGCAGATCTCTGAGTTTGAGGCCAGCTTGGTCTCCAGAGCAACTTCCAGGACAGCCAGGGAAACAAAGAGAAACCTTGTCTCACACCTCCCTCCCACAATAAATAAATAAAATAACATAAAATAAATAAATAGGTACCATTAAATTTTGGTTTTAAAAAGCTGGTAAACCAAGTCTTTGTTATTTGCTCAAAAAAGAAAGAGAAAAAAAAAATGGCTCAGGGTTTAAGAGCCTTTGCTATTCTTTCAGAGGACACAAGTTCAGTTCCCAGCACCCACACAGGACTGATATCCCCTGTAACTCCAATCCCAGGGGATCTGATGTCCTCTTCTGGCCGCCCGAGGGTACTACATACATGTGATGTGCATAGAAACATTCAGACAGGTACTTATCTACATAAAAATAACATAAATCTCTTCAACAACTTTGAGAAGGAAATACTATGAGGCAGAAGTGTCTTCCCCATTTCTGTCAACACATGAGGTGTTCCTGGAATCCATTTTTGTCCTAGTGAAACTTTCAAACGGGGCCTTTTCTTAGTTATTGCTGTGAAGAGACACCATGACCATGACCACAGCAACTCTATAAAGCAAAATAAAAAACAAAACAAACAAACAAACAAAAAAACCATTTCATTGGGTGGCTTTCCGTCCAGAGGTTCAGTCCATTATTGGGACATGATGGCTTGTAGGCAGATATGGTGCGGGAGAGGTAATTGGTAGTGGTTTGAGATACTAGGCATGGCTTAAGCATATATGAGACCTCAATGCCTGACCCACAATGACACATTTTCTCCAACAAGGCCATACCAACTCCAACAAAGCCACACCTCCTAATAGTACCACTCCCTATGAGTTTATGGGGGTCAATTACATTCAAACTACCACAGGCCTAAAGAAAACAGGAATACTTATTAGTGGTGGGGCATTTATATGTATGTTTTGCCCTCCCAGTGGCAGATAACTTCAGGATTGAAACTTATAGGGGCTGGAGATACAGCTCAGAGGTTAAGAGCGTGTTCTGCTCTTATGGAGGATCTGAGTTTGATTCACAGCACCCATATCAGGAGGCTTGCAACTGCCTGCAACTTCATCTCAAGGGGGATACAACCCCTATGTTCTCTGAAGGCACCCACACACACATATGCATACTCAGGTGGGCGCACACACAAACACATAAAGATAATTTTTAAAAAGGAAACCTATGGGCAGCTGGAGAGATGGCTCAACTGTTAAGAGTACTGGATGCTCTTCCAGAGGACCTGAGTTCAATTCACAGCAACCACATGGAGGCTCACAAACATCTATAGTGGGATCTGATGCCCTCTTCTGGCATAAAGGTGTATAAGCAGATAGAACACTCATAAATAAATCTAAAAAGAAAAAGAAGTAAAAGAAAAAAACCTATGGGCTGGTAGTCCGGTCAAATAGAGGGTTGCCAGTGGAGCATGACGTAAGCCTCGGGTCCTATCCCCAGCACTGCATAAACCAGATGTGGTAAGCATTTCTGTAGTCCTGGCACTTAGTAAGTGACATCAGGGAGATCAGAAATTTAAGGTCATCCTGGCTACATAGTGATTTTGGGTTATATGAGACCCTGTCTTCAAGGGGGGGGGGAGTATGAGGGCTGAAGAAATTGGTCATCAGGTAAAAGCTTTTACTGCAAACATGGGGACCTGAGTTTGAATCCTCTGAACCCATACAAAAGCTAGGCAATGATTAGGAACACTGCCTTCTCTTGCATAGGACCTATTCCCAGGACCCCACATGGCGCCTTGCCAACATCATAACTGCAGGGTTTCTCGGTGATGCCCTGGCTGTTCAGGCTGGCCTCAAAATCAGAGATCCACCTGCCTCTGCCTCCCAAGTGCTAGGATCAAAGGTGTGTGCCACCACACCTGGCTCCACCTTTGGTTTTTAAAGATTGGAAGTTCTGAAATTCTCTGAGTGACCTACATCTAGAAGAGCACACTTAAACAGGAGCATTTTTCTGGAGAATTGGAAGAATCTGATTCTAAACAAGGTGATAGATTATTACAAGTAATAATTGGCTTGTCAAGCATTTACATTGTGCTTTTCTGACATAAGGCGAGAGCACAGAAAAGAAAGAAGTGACTTGGCCAAAGCCAGGTGTGGGAATGAGAATGGTGATGCCTGGCAAATACTTTCAACTAGTTTTAGTTAACAACATTAGCAGTGGAACTTTGTCACCCAGGGCAACTCCCTGTGACTCTCACAGGTGCTTAGGAATTTGATAGTGCTTGATGCAACTTCTTGGCCAACCCTGATTCTCATCTAAACAATACTTAAATTACAGAATTATTAATTCATTAAAATCAAATGAGTTCCACTCTGGTTAGTTAGGGCTCCAGCCTCCAGTCTGCTGATATCCTAGAAAAGGAGCCAAGTAGGATGCTAAGTAGTGTAGCTGCCCCTTATGTTGGACACAGAAGAGGGACACCCTGCCCTAGGGACCACCCCAGTGCAGTGCCCCTAAATAGGGAATCTCCAGACTGAGACATGAGCTGGCGCCTCAGGGAACTCTAACACACAGTTCTCATCTCTGCTGAAGCTAAACCACAGGAACACAGGAAGTTTCCATGACCCAGCGTGATTCCTTATGTCACACAGCACAACTTTCTCAGGGCTGCCTTTTCCCCTCATCTATCATCCTGCCTCCCTCTGTGCTTGCCCTAGATTCCTCATTCTGAAGGCATGCTCAGGGAGAGATATTATTCACCCTGGCTCAGCCAGGAAAGAAGGCAGCCCATGCATCCTGCTGCTGGAGAGAGTGAGGTCTAGAATTAATCCCTTGCCTTTCCTCGCTCCACTTTCTCCCAGCTGGCTAAATCAAGCAATAATCCTAAAAGGGAATTTCAAGCTATTTGTGACTCCTACCTCCTCCACCGCACCCCCACACGCAGTGTTTAGGGAGGAGAGGGCAAAGCCTTTGGATCAGAGTAATCTGTTTCTAACCCACTTCCATTCTCAGGGATTACTTCTAGGGGGAGGGGAAGGGAGAGGGGAAGAGAAATACGTCTCAGTGCCTTTCGTGCTTGGGAATGTGAGGAGGAAACTCCAGAAGGGCCTTGCAGCAGCAGGCATTCCATGAGCCTGGGAGCTCCCTCCCCTCCCAGGGTCCACAGGCCGGAAAGGCAGAGCCTAAACTAGGTTTTGGCAATAATGGGGACTGAATGAAAGAGTGGGAAATTCATGGCTTGTGGGCAGATGAAGGTAAGAACTGTCCTTGCTTGTATCTCCAAGTTTCATATCTTTATATGCTCAAGTTACGGGTGAAGTCAACCCATCAATAAGAACGCGTGACTCGGCGAGAAAGCTAAGGACAAAGGAACCATGGCCCCACTGCTGCTGGCTTCCATTTGTCCTGTGGCCTTACACAAGTCACTTTACATCTCTGATCACAAACTTGTCCTCAGTAAAAGGGGTGAAAAGTCTCTCTCGTGCATCCTCTAAGTGATCTCCCTATTTATCATGCACAAAGACCGGATCCCCGAATCATATTCCAGCATGACTCTTTGGTGGGCTTCGTGTGAATCTAGTACTTGGCATACATTTCCTCTAACCTGCACCCCATCCTCCACACCCATAGTCCTCCAACATCCAAATGTGTTTTCCCCCCACGCTGCAGTCTTTTGAGATGCTCTCCAGTGGCTGGATGTGTGCTAATGCAGGAAACTTCCACTAGAGGGTACCAGGGCTGCACTGGGATCTCAGATCCCAAGTCCTGTGCAATTCAGCACTTTTAAATCTCTTCTTCATTGTGAAGTACAGAGCTCAGTATTTAGTTTTTGTCTGCTCTTTACTGAGCTTAAAAAATAGTCTTAAAAAGCTTCCACTGTTTTGCCGGGCTGTGGTGGCACACGCCTTTAGTCCCAGCACTTGGGAGGCAGAGGCAGGAGGATCTCTGTAAGTTCAAGACCATCCTGGTCAACAGAGCTAGTTCCACGATAGGCTCCAAAGCAATACAGAGAAACTCTGTCTCAAAAACCAAAAAATAAAAAAATAAAAAGCCTCTACTATTTTGACTTCATTTTAAGTTGATCTGATCTCAGTTCAAGCACAGCTTAGTATGGTGGTGAAATGCATGGGGGGTTCTGGCAACTGATACAGACCTTGTTGTATCAGTTAAGCAAATGTTAAGCAAATTGCTTAAACGTGCTGTGGCCCCATACCCTTTGGTGAAATGGGGATTGCAAAACTGACCTCACTGAGTGATAGCATCTGGATCCTGTGACTGGTATAATGCAGATGACTGGGGTTATTTAAGTGCCAGAGGAGAATTTTGAAACCTGTGTAGATGGGGAATCTCGGTGTTATAGTAGATGGGTTTGCAGGAGCCCGGAGTCCCTCTTGCCATTTGGTTCTTCAGTCTTAAAGTTTTGAGGCTGCTGCTGCTGGTGGCTCGGCCTAGTCCCCCAGTTCCATCCCATCGCCACAGCAGCCTAAGCATGCTGTTTCTCTGTCCTTGATCTTGGTTTTCGGGGAGGTAGGTGGCTTACGTTTCCACTTCCTCCTCATGCCTTCATGAAAACCCTCTTTTCTTCTGTCTCGTGTTTCCCCCGAACTGCCACATTCCCACCCAGCTCCGCTGATCCCTTTCCCTCTCATCTCACCTCTCCAACATTCTCTTCTGGAGATTTCTAGACAAGTGAAAGTCTGAAAAAAGGGGGAGGAACAGAGTGTTCAGGGCTTGCGTGTCAGAAGACACGTTACAGCTGCAGGGCAACCCAGGGTGAAACCACGAGGCAGAGGCCGCAGGGTAAGCAGCTGACAGGCCCGCCCCTTGGCTCCTGTCATCACTGTCTCACCCCAGAATTTTCCTG